AAATTGGAAAGCCCGATTTTGTAGTGGTAGTACCTGTAGTATCTGTAGTCAGGATAATGAAGAAAAGAGTTTGGGCTGCCTGTAGTGAAGTCACTGTAGTCAGTGTAGTGAAGAATACCGAGAGGTGACAGATATGGGAAGCCCGCTTTTGTAGTGGTAGTACCTGTAGTATCTGTAGTCTAGGACTGTTAGAAACATGAAGAGTTGGGCTGTTGTAGTGAAGTCACTGTAGTCAGTGTAGTGAAGAATACCGAGAGGTGACAGAAATGGAAAGCCCGATTTTGTAGTGGTAGTACCTGTAGTATCTGTAGTCAGGACTGTTAGAAGCACGAAGAAAAGAGTTTGGGCTGCTGTAGTGAAGTCACTGTAGTCAGTGTAGTGAAGAATACCGAGAGGTGGCAGAAATGGAAAGCCCGATTTTGTAGTGGTAGTAACTGTAGTATCTGTAGTCAGGACTGTTAGAAACATAAAGTGTATGGGCTGCTGTAGTGAAGTCACTGTAGTCAGTGTAGTGAAGAATACCGAGATCTAGAGGTCACAGAAAAGCGAGACGGTCTTTTGAAGTCGTAATCTGTGTACTCACTGTAGTCAGACCCATTGAGAAGATGACAAAATCGGGCTGCTGTTGTGTAGTGTAGTCGATGTTGCGGAGAAAATCGTGAGTGCAAAAAAAAAGTAGTAGACTAGTCATCATCATGAGAGAACCTTAATTGTTAAGAGCTGATACAGAATTTGTATGTGATGGCATTTATTTCTGGTCTAGCCTTGCCTTGGGAGTCAGGCAGTCCCTCTGTAGGCGGAGCAACACTATTTTTCAGCAAACTTCAACCTGGTCCATGGTCTATCTAGCTATAAAGCCTGAGTCTCAACCTTCCGTACTTGCATCTGAGTGCTGTCTACGTTCAAAAACGTGGGCAATCGTAGGGATCCGTAAGTGGTGAGTATCGCCTCCGTACGGAATCGTACGGATTCGGGAGCACGCAGACACGCCGTAGAACCTTAAGTGCATGTAAAACTTTCTCTGCGTGCGGTTTGCGGATTCACCACCCGTACTGTGACGTGCGAGTACGGGCGACGCGCGTGCACCGTACAATCTATCACGGAGCGTACAACGCACTGACTTTGTGAACTGTTCTCATGGGCAATTGCTGTACGGACAGCGCATGTAGCACATCCCAGTTCACCTGCTCAATGACACAGAACACACGTGCACCGTACCAATTGCTCCGCACGTACAACGCACGTGAAACGCGCCTGATTTCTACAGTATATAAAGACGACTTGATGAAAGTATTTTCGAATAAAAACGCTCATCGTTTAGCGATTTTCCCATTTTTGAGCCAAAAATGCTTTTTCACTGTCAGATATGCAAATTATGCTGCAACATCACCAATTTGCATACATGATGTCGGTGGGTCATTGCGCACCTGATGAAAGTATTTTGGAAAAAAACGCTCATCGTTTAGCGATTTCCTATTTTTGAGCCAAAAATGCTTTTTCGCGCTTTTTCGCTGTCAGATATGCAAATTATGCTGCAACATCACCAATTTGCATACATGATGTCGGTGGGTCATTGCGCACCTGATGAAAGTATTTTGGAAAAAAACGCTCATCGTTTAGCGATTTCTTATTTTTGAGCCAAAAATGCCTTTTCGGTCTTATTTAGCTGGGGAATTTTCACACCTGATAAAAGCAAGTCAGAAAATTCCCATTTTTAGCCAAATAATGGTATTTTTGGTCTTAGATATATATGCAAACTCAAAGATCCCATCTTGACCACTCCTTACTTTTCATAAAAATTATCCATTCAACCTATTATAACATAACAATTAGCAGTTCGAGCATTGTCTCATTGAGAGAGTGGCTGGATCTTGGTCAAATAATTGCATTATTATGTTTTGATGGCAGTATGTCTGATGATAGGAAAGCATTTATGTCTCATTTTTTCCTCATTTTTTCCTCAGTCTGCTCAGATAGACAAACTATGTTGCTTTTGGCAATGAAAATATGAAATTGTTTGTAAGAGCCTCCTAAGAACAGATCTTGGAAATAAAGAAGGTAACAAAGACAGAGATATGTCATTAGAGACATGTTTTATTTTAATGTTCGTAAATACCTCATCCCAGTATTGATTTTTGCTATTTTTTTAATTTGATATCGTATACTGTGTATGAATAACGCAGTACTGTAAAGCATTACAGTTACTGTAGCCTGTATGCAAGGATATGAAACTCATCTCTGAAGATTGCTGTTATTTACAGTCACGAATTATAACACTATCAATAGATTTACAATGTACATACCCTACAAATGTGTTAAATGCTGTACTTGCACGTAAGACTCAAACATCCTAAAAGAATAAAACTATAAACAACTACGCATCCAATTTCAATTTATCTTACATTGTTGACCTTGGCCCAGTTGGACTGTCCTACATGACAATTTGTCCCATGCTTCCATTTTTAGTGTTCTCGAAACACAGACACAGAACTGGGGGGGGGGGGGGGGTCTACTCAAATAATCTCTGTACATTTCACTTTACACTTTAAACAATTATTAACAGAATATAACAAACAAGTATACTACTAGTAGTCTTATGCTTTTTTACTACCACTACAAAAGCGGGCTTCCCATTTCTGTCACCTCTCGGTATTCTTCACTACACTGACTACACTACAGTAGCCCAAACTCTTTTCTTCGTGCTTCTAACAGTCCTGACTACAGATACTACAGGTACTACCACTACAAAAGCGGGCTTCCCATTTCTGTAACCTCTCGGTATTATTCACTACAATGACTACACTCACTTCACTACAGCATCCCAAACTCCTTTCTTCATGCTTCAGTCCTGACTACAGATACTACAGGTACTACCACTACAAAAGCGGGCTTCCCATATCTGTCACCTCTCGGTATTCCTCACTACACTGACTACACTGACTTCACTACAGCATCCCAAACTCCTTTCTTCATGCTTCAGTCCTGACTACAGATACTACAGGTACTACCACTACAAAATCGGGCTTCCCATTTCTGTCACCTCTCGGTATTCTTCACTACACTGACTACACTACAGTAGCCCAAACTCTTTTGTTCATGCTTCTAACAGTCCTGACTACAGATACTACAGGTACTACCACTACAAAATCGGGCTTCCCATTTGTCACCTCTCGGTATTCTTTACTACACTGACTTCACTACAGCAGCCCAAACTCTTTTCTTCGTGCTTCTAACAGTCCTGACTACAGATACTACAGGTACTACCACTACAAAATCGGGCTTCCCATATCTGTCACCTTTCGGTATTCTTCACTACACTGACTACAGTGACTTCACTACAGCAGCCCAAACTCTTTTCTTCATCATCCTGACTACAGATACTACAGGTACTACCACTACAAAAGACGGGCTTCCCATATCTGTCACCTCTCGCGGTATATTCTTCACTACACTGACTACAGTGACTTCACTACAGGCAGTCCAAACTCTTTCTTTATCATCCTGACTACAGATACTACAGGTACTACCACTACAAAATCGGGCTTCCCATTTCTGTGACCTCTCGGTAAACTTCACTACACTGACTACAGTGACTTCACTACAGCAGCCCAAACTCCTTTCTTCATGCTTCTAACAGTCCTGACTACCGATACTACAGGTACTACCACTACAAAATCGGACTTCCCACATATGTCACCTCTCGGTATTCTTCACTACACTGACTACACTGACTTCACTACAGCATCCCAAACTCCTTTCTTCATGCTTCAGTCCTGACTACAGATACTACAGGTACTACCACTACAAAATCGGGCTTCCCATATCTGTCACCTCTCGGTATTCTTCACTACACTGACTACAGTGACTTCACTACAGCAGCCCGAACTCTTTTCTTCGTGCTTCTAACAGTCCTGACTACAGATACTACAGGTACTACCACTACAAAAGCGGGCTTCCCATTTCTTTAACCTCTCGGTATTCTTCACTACAATGACTACACTCACTTCACTACAGCATCCCAAACTCCTTTCTTCATGCTTCAGTCCTGACTACAGATACTACAGGTACTACCACTACAAAAGCGGGCTTCCCATTTCTGTCACCTCTCGGTATTCTTCACTACACTGACTACAGTGACTTCACTACAGCGGCCCAACCTCCTTTCTTCATTATCCTGACTACAGATACTACAGGTACTACCACTACAAAATCGGGCTTCCCATATCTGTCACCTCTCGCGGTATTCTTCACTACGCTGACTACAGTGACTTCACTACAGCAGCCCAAACTCTTTTCTCCATGCTTGACTTTTCTGACTTTACATTTGACGTAGCGTTCTTGCGTAAATGCGCGGGGGCAGGGTGTGCCGCGCCTCTAATTGCGCTCGCCTGTGAATTAGACGAACGCCCATCGTGTCAATGCGAAGCATTCGTCGCTCGGGTGACAGGCCGTGCCTGTTCCGCAGGATGGTGATGCGTTGCCGGCCATGATGCGTCGAATGTCGTGCCTACCGCACGCTCGGACACCTTTGTATCGGGATTTGTGCACGCTGGCGCCGTGTACCCGACGCAGTGTACCCGTGAGGTGCGTTTGCCGGCGATTTCGTTACAGCAATCACGAACGCCTATCGAACTCCGGCGCAGCATCATTCGGTTTGCAAGTCTGGCGTGTCCCGCATATTTGTGATGCGTTGCCGGTCGTGATGCGTTGCGAACGTCTATCGTAATCCGGCGCAGCATCACTCGGATTGCAAGTCTGGCGTGTCCCGCAAAATTCGTGATGCGTTGGCGGTCGTGATGCGTCGCACAGTGTATGCCGCACGCTCGGACGCTGTCGTGTCGGGTTGTGTCAACGCTGGCGCCGTGTACCCAAGTGCATTCGCCGGCGGTTTCGTGATGGCTTACACAAACGCTACACCTGCAGCACCACCTAGCAGTTTTAGTGTGAAGTAGAACCTGCAGCGACCCTGAGGTAGCAGAAGGACTACTGAAACGTTGGTGACTCTTGGTTGTATACAAATAACTTTGTCAATCATGCAGAGTACATGTTTATTTTGTTTGTTTGTTTGTTTGTTTGTTTATTTGTTTCATTACAATTAGGACTGATTTTAGGGTTTAACCCAGAAAATCAAGGACTCACCTTGTTTCTGCAGTCTTAAATGCCCAAAGTATGAAATACTGACTCAAATTAATGTGCTAATGTGACGCAGTACTAGTATGTGTCAATATCACAAAGATTGCCTTATTCAAAATATTTCCAGTTTTGCTGCCCTGAAATCGCATTGGATGCCTTTAAATCGTAGGTACATTTAGTAGGCAATGACAATAATCATACACGAATCTCGGTCGCAGTTGGGATCTGGCCCAGCGATGCCATGACAGTTCCCAGATCTTTAGTGGTGATACAGCCCTTCCCGTCTGTGTCGAACAAAGAGAAGGCCTCTCTCATCTCTGCAACCTGTTCCTCCGTTAGCTGGTCTGTCATGGTAAGTTTTGCTGCCAGGGGAAAGAAAAGTAATGAATGAAAGTCCAGGGTTCGAGTCCTGACATGCCACCCATCTTGTGCCCTCGGGAAAGGCACTTTACACGACTTTCCTCACTTAACTCAAGTGAAAATGAGTATCATCATCTTTGATACTGCTTAGCCTTCTAAAGAGAAGATTACTAGCAGCTGCGCATTAATACTGTGTGCAAAGTGCAAACAAAGGGTAAGGTAGGGATGGACATGGACAAGTGCAAGGACAGGACAAGTGAAATGTGGTGCTAGTGTTACACATATTTACATATGTACACGGACAGGGAGGCAGCTCAATGCAGCGAAGCCCGTCCCAGCTCAGCTTTGAACTGGGAGATGGACTTCGCCTCCGCCACACTGGGCTCAAGTTCATTCCACTCCTTGATGGTGCGAGGGAAGAACGAGAGCCTGTAATAGTTGTTCTTACTCGCGATGGTCTGCAGCTTGAAAGCGTGATTAGTGCGGCGGGAGCATCGAGCTGCCGGGACAAGCTAGACACGAGGTGTGGGGGACAGAGATGGTGTCTGAGTATTGTCTACCCTGTACATGTATTTGTTTCTATGTGTGGGACACAACACCAGCAACAGCTGCCTGTGTCCCACGTGTATTGCACTGTTGCAATTTCAATAACTCAAATCAAATCGAACAATTTTAAGAACAATTTTTGCCACTTTCGAAAAGGAACATATATATATTTACACTTTCTTTTACCACTCTTTAGCCTCTAATACTAGTCTTCCAGAGTTCGAATAATCAATATAGATGTACATGTTACACATCACAAAAACATACATTCATAAACCGGTATTTACAATTTTACGGACTAACAGACAAAGAGTACATAAAAGGTACAAAATGATGTTGATTTCATATGGTGTTCATTCGTAGACTAATGTGATTCCTTAGTCAACTGATGAAACGCTTCGAAGCTGAGTATAATCTAATATTCTATCTTTACGACATCATGTAATTTCTTAATACAACTAAACATGCATGCCTGCGCGTGTCAGCGAAGCTGGTGTGTTACGCCGAAGGGTGGTTATACCGGCCATAGAGGCACATAAAGATGCAATACACAAATTTTATCAGCTAGTTTAGTGTATCATTACAATACAGAAACTAGCAATGCACCTTGCTTGAGAACAATACCACACTGAAAGAGTTTCGCCGTTTCTCAAATGATGATTATGATACAAGCTAACAAAATGGTGGCGAAGTAATGGAGGTGTTAGAAGTGGTCCAACAACTTGTGCAAAGCAATGTTTTGTTTACACACGATCGAAGAAAAGACAAAAAAAATCCGACAGCTCTTACTTTAAATACCTAAGTTCCACTTGTTTCACAAGTTTTCGTGCTGGCAACTTGGGTGATCTTGATTCTTGGTCGTTTGCTCAGTAAGAACCAGTGCCGTTTAGTACTGCTGTATGTTGGGAAGCCTTCTGTTTGCATCTCCCTTGGCAACCGCTAGGATAGCCCTCCGGCGTAACACGCCAGTTAACCAGGTCATCCCAAAACACTTCTTACCTTATCATGGCTTCACAACACGAAGTGGTGTGGTGAAGACAAATTGTTTTCTCTCATGTCTCTCCTTCTTCTTCTTCTTCTCCTTCTCCTGTCATTTCTTTAAAGGGATTCAACTCTGCCATTTTTTCGGCCAAATGACCTGAAATTTGGCATGGATGTAGAGTGGGCAAATACCCCCAGACGTTGTTTTTTTAAACAGGATTTTGAAATTGTCTTATTTGTTGTTGTTGTTGTTTTGGCCATTTGCTCCCGAGCAAATGTCGATCTTTCTAGTAACAGTACACACAGTACTTTCTAGTTACAGTACGCCTTGCATATCAAACTCCAAGCGCTGGGTTGGGAGTAGCATGGAATTCATCCTATTCTGGCTCCATCTAAATTCCTAATCTCATCCTAATTCTGCCTTGGAGGTCTTCATACTGAGTTCTTGAAGTTTGGGTAAATATCTGTTTTTGTGCAAAATCATGCATTAAAGCGCACATCCTAATGATGTGACCGCAAGCGATTATGTGTGAATGGGCCTGGACTGCTTCTAAATTCGGTCACATTATTATTGTTTACACAATTACATAATTGTTTTTCTGTTTATCATGTGGATGGCATATATATAATAATTCTAAACAATTAACCTACATATCACCAAAAGAGACACTCAATTATTGCTCCATGTACAAACATTTTTGTCCGTTTCCAAACGTTTTGTTGTTGTTGTTGTAATATTTCAACATGTCAGTCATATCAGTCTTTGGAAATATTTTGTCACTGAAGTTGTTTTTGAAATAATCAAAATAATGAAATAATTTTGAATAATTATATAATAATAATAATAGTTATTAGAGAATTCTCTAGTAACCGTATCTATACGTCACAAATGAATCTCTTCAACAATAATTTTATATATTATTACATATAATAATTTTAGATAATAATTTTTAAATAATTAAAATCATTAAAATTAGTATGTAAATTCGTGCTTTACGTGTCCCGTTTATTATGTAATGTCTTATGTGTTGGTGGTGGCATGAATATAAGTCTAAACCTTGAGTGTGACGTTACCACTAGGTGATGTTTTGTCAATAAATGTTGCAATAAAAAAAAAGATACACTACCCAAGATTTCAGAGTTACTTTTATTTATTGTCAAGGTAAGAAAAGCTATCCTTACTGTTCAAGTCTTACAATGGTTAGCTACTGCCATATCATTAATGTCATGCACTACTATCATGCATTCATCATTTATCAATCAAAAGTATCTCAACCCTCCTCCAACTACACATCCATATTCAAAGTCATCCTTGGTGCTTTTTAGAAAGGATCCACTCGCTCAATTGCTTAAACTTTTAGAAGGTAAATATCACTACTTCTATCGCTACGTGCGGTTTGCTTGGTGTCAAGAGAATGGCCATGCTTGGTTCATACAAATACGATTCATGAGAAGACCTTGCAACCTTCTTTTTTATATATTGTCTCAGGAAATTTATATCATATTTGAGTTTGTAAAGACATCCCGACATGTCGTTTCTCTTGTAGTTGAATGGACAGTGTCGTTGTTTTTTTTACTTGTCAAAGTGTGTGTATTCCAGTCCCTCGGGAAAATGTTGGGGTATTATAATAACATATCACACCAACAGTTCCCGTAATGTACAAAACTTTCCTAGTGCTGACTTAATTAAGTTTACTTTTAACTCAACAAGTGACCGTTCATGCCTTTTATAACCATTTACCATAGTAGTACAGGGTTCAAGTATGAAAGTGAGGTTATATACATTATAGAGTATAGTTAAAAAGTACTATAAGTGAAATGTGGTTTATCTCCATAGAGAAGCAGTTGCTAAATCAATTTCTGTGCCATGTAACTCTAGCTTCATGATACTTTTCTTAGATAATGTGTATTTATACGTGTTGCCAGAAAGGGAGGTTGAAGTGCTTCATACAAGTCCAGAAATGTATCATATCATTTTGTTATATTTTGTTGTTTTGACACACAAACAACCCACTGTATAATAAAACTAATGTAACATGAAACTCGATTGTACAACAGTCCCTATTGCTTGTCAACAGTGTTCTCGTCCCTTGCTTATAATTCGGTTGGTGGAGAAAGTCCTCGTGACTGGAACAATAGCAAAACTGGGTGCAAAAGACATTGCGTAGAAACCTATAGCGACATCCTACGCAATAAACAACAGATATTCTCCCTTAGTAGCTTCCCAGTATGCATCGCAGCTTCCTCTTACTAAATACCTACTGGTAGCATTTCTCTATAGCAGACGACTGTACAGAACCATGGAGGTAAAATACCTCCATGACAGAACGTAGCCCTTCAGTTTACAGCATAGCCACTGCGGTGCATTTTGTTTCAAATTTACCAATCTCAATGTACACTCTTAAAACATTATTCCAACAACGTGACAGTGGTAGGCATGTACACACAATTGAAGCCAACCTAACAGTCGCATTCGAGAACTTTCCTTCAACTTTTTTTTTAAAACAGGCAGAAATGCAAGATGGCGGATCGATACAACAACTCAGATGCTGCTGTTGCATGCTGGGAAACAAGATGGCGGCAGAGATACCCCATTCCTACTTAAGAAAGGTGAGATGGCTGAAAGGTAGGCGGCGGCTTTATTTGGAAGTCATCATCCTCACGAACTCCTCGTAGTTGACCTACAGGGGAAACAGAACAGACGTCGACGATCAGATCTACTCTTGAACATTGCGTATTTCTTTTGGGAATGGAAAAATGAATGAGAAGAAAAAACGCCAACTGGATGAAACGTTAGATAATTCTAACCCAAGCATGACACCGTTTCCAGAAGAAACGCGATGCTCTCCAGCATATATAAGATTTCTGTTGATCTATAAAGAACATTTACAATTTGACTCTTACTTTGGCCCCCACAAAAATGAACAAAGTAACTTCGTATAGTTGTTAGTACTCAAACTTGCAGCAAATATAATGCCATGGCCATCTAACTTGAACTCAGCAACAGAAATGAGTCGAGAAGAAATCATAGATACTCCTAAATCATAGATACTCTCATTTGACTTTGTCGTCAGAGATGTGTAAAATTATCATTGTTTTAAAATATCATCATTTAGATTTGTTCCTAAGTGCACTTTACTTTCTTGGATACACATTGGTCGCTTGATATCAAACTGTTCAACACCATGTTGTTGTTTTCTTCTGAACTCTACCAGACCCCCCTCCCCACAAAAAAGGTCAAACGACTGAAACAACATTTTGGCAAGAAATATGAGCCTGAGAATTTTTAGAGTGATCGAATAAGGTACAATGTATAAAGATCTTCATAACTGAATTAGGAATATGAAACTTTAAAACAGACCAAAACAATAGTGTTCAGGCCATGGCAATTAGCAAGACAAGCTTAGGCAATGTATTATTTTGTAACTTCATGCTTTATCTGCGGAAGCAAATATAGAGAATAGTAAGATTCACAAAAATGTGTATTCCTTGCTTCAATGGAGTTAACAAGTTTCATGGAATTTCTTTGCCTTGAAGATGTTAATACTTCTGGGATCATCAAATGAGTTATATTTCCACAAGCACTGTTATTATTATGCCATTCCATACACCCTTTCATTCTATTACTTCACCATTTTCTAGCTTGAGTTTGGAGTCATCATCTTTACGAACTCTTCGTAGTTGACCTATAGAGAAATTAGAATAGAAAACATTCGTGAGATTTCCTTGTGTGGCCCGCTGTTTGATTAGGCCTCAGTGCAAATGCCAGGCATTGAATTGAAGCCGAATATTACAAGCAAAGCTGAGATGCAGATTGGCAATGATGGTAGGTACAAAATATATTCGCTGTTCCATGCTTTTTATGGTAAGAACGACTCCCTTCACCATGATGAGGGTTAGTTTAGGGGTAGGCAAAATTACAAACTTTCGATACAAACTGTATCTGCGTATTTATAACTGTAGGGTTAAGAATGAATTGAAATGTACTAAAATCATTCAGACATGAAAGTTTTGTATTGCAGAGGTTCCCATTTAGATGTATCCATGCAGCCTGACTGAATCCCTGTGTTTTTGTGTGTGGATGAGTTTATGTTAGTACATTTCTTTCCTTGCTTCAGTTTAGTACCTAATAGGATATCTTTTACTGGTTAATGTATAGTAAACTGTGGTAATGATATTATACTTCTATGTATCACATTGCTTTTAGAGTTTATAACCTGTGGGACCATAACCCCATTTTAGGCCACAGCAAGTAATTTTTATGGATGACATCAGCGCGCGCATTGATTTTCGCCTGATTTTGGAGAAAATAAAACAAGAAATTTTGCTGCCGTTTTACAGTGCTTTTACGTTAACATGCCGAAAATAGGCAAAGATGTCTGTTGTCATGTCGCAAGGTGGATGGCAGATAACTATGAAGAGAGGAGACAAGAGAATGCTCTGATTTAATGTTTTGTTTCTTACTTTGATGCAGTGATATGTGATGCTGGCTGTGAATATGTGATGTTTCCAACTGAATCAAAACATTTCTACAATGATTGAGTCAAAATTTTAAAATGTAGGAACCTTGTTTTTTTCGGCCCGTCTTGTTTTTTTTTCGCCCGCTCACATTAGATTTGGAGTCTGTGGAGGATGTCATCCATAAAATTTACTTGCTGTGGCCTTATCATAGAATACTGCGGGACAGTGGATGATAAAGATGTTCAAACTAGTTCTAACCTGGCCATCTCCGTCAATGTCGGCCTCTCGGATCATCTCATCCACCTCTTCATCTGTCAGCTTCTCTCCCAGGTTGGTCATCACGTGACGCAGCTCCGCGGCGCTGATGTAGCCGTTGCCATCCTGTATGTATGACGGGAAGGGATGGGGGAGGGGGGCACATTTGCAAATACCGTGTCAGCGAGAATTCCTCTCAATTATAAGTGTCAATGATAACACATCATTTCATTTATCAACAGCAACGTTCTTTCAGGATAAGATGAGAAAGAATAGAGACCCAGGGTTGTCAGCTACAGTCCAGAACAATGGATCCACACCTTCCAAAGTGGCGACAATAAAGGCATTCTGCGATAGAATAGGTCAATGGTGAATATCAGAAGGAGGATACTAGTCAAAGACAAGGAAGACACCCGATATCCAAGATGCGTAGTACATTAGCAGCATGTACATGTAAGATCTATGTTATAAAGAGTACACGACTTAACAAAGAAGAAGCTTACCCGTACACCAGTACTTAACACCACTCTATATTAGAAATCCGCCATTCCTTGTGTCCCTGAAGATTGCCACCATGTTATTGAGGGCCGTGTACTATACCTTGTCGAACACTTTAAACGCCTCACTCAGCTCCTTCTCCTGGTCAGTGTCTTTCATCTTCCGAGCCATCATGGTGAGGAATTCTGGGAAGTCTATGGTTCCGTTTCCGTCCGTGTCAACCTCGTTTACCATATCCTATACGTAAGTTTAGAAGACATTAGTTTCTTCCTTATGATGCTTCCTTACCTTGTCGAAAACTAGGAAGGCCTCCCTGAGTTCCTCGTCGTCCTCACGTTCTTTCATCTTTCTCGCCATCATGGTGAGGAATTCGGAAAAGTCTATGGTTCCGTTGCCGTCCGTGTCGACTTCATTGATCATATCCTAACCGTTTCGAGAATCAGAGACGGTTGGTTTGGGTTAGTCCTCTAGGGATACAAGAAACCACTTCCCCTCCATACTTACGGTCTACCTCGCAGCAGCACAGGTACCTCCTGTTGATAACGTTTTGTCGTTAATGTGTAAAACCTGATTACTGTGTGTAGAACCGTGTTGGCACTGACTGTGTCTTCCCTGTATTGCACCGGAAAATCTTGTACCAAAAAAATATATAACTGCAACTGAACGCTGGTGCCCTCTTCATACCAATCCATCAATTGGTATCTGTAAAGATAAAGGCCATGTCTTCAATAACGTTTAAGATGAGGAGCGGATAGGAATTCCTTCACCGACCTTATCAAAAACTCTAAACGCCTCCCTAAGCTCCTCTTCTGTATCTGTCTCCTTCATCTTCTTCGCCATCATGGTAAGGAATTCTGGGAAATCAATGGTACCGTTGCCGTCTGCATCGACCTCGTTGATCATGTCCTGTGGAAGAGAGATCTTTATAGCACACACAAGACGTGCGCTCAGAACACAAAGTACAGGTGGGCCTTGGGAGAAATAAAACAAAATAATAGTACGCCAAAAAGCAAAATTTGTCTTCACTTTATTTGCATATCAATCAATAGTTTGTACTTATAAACCTGCATTTCCCCTCTGGTCTTTCAGTCACTGACGAAAGCTAGTGGATACTAGCTGAAGCGTCTGACGTTTTCAAAATCATATCCAGTTGCTGGAGTAACTGCTTTTTGGCGTATCGTATTACCTGGATGTCTAACCTTCATCGACGCAAAATAATAGTAGAATGCTGAACTTTCTTTCAACGGGAGAAATAAAACAAATTAATAGTAGAATGCTGAATATTATTCCAACACAAGGATTTTATACAGAGATCAAATTTTTAATGACCACTGTCGCCTTCTTCAGGATGATTAATGACCAATCACTTCCGAACGTAATCTCGCGAGAGTTACGGTTACAGACACGTGACCTTACTTATACGTGACTTTACGGATACGTGACGTATGCAATTGATCAAACGTGCCAGGGAGTTTATATCGTCCACCGTCTCTGTTAAATGATGGCTGCAGTGCTCTCTGTGTAACCCTTGTGTTGGAATAAAGTTCAACATTCTACTATGATTACTACCACCACGGATGAACTTTCATGATAAAACAAAATGAGATTTCTTGCTGCATTCCATTTAACACAGAGGCGGGTGAACAATCCACAGAACAAGGTCTGAAAACAACATTCAGAATGGTTAAAAAAAGGATGACTGAGCAACATCGATGAAACATGCATAAAAGTACCAAACAAAATCAATACAAACTGATGCAAAAACAAACTTCATAGTAAATACAGCACAACGAATATTTTCAAGTGATGACTTATCATAAAATAAATGCGAAGAGATAAATATACAGAAATGCTAACATGGTATACATCAAGACAAGAAGGATCAATACAATGAAAATTATCTTTATTATGCTTTGATATAAGCCGCGATATGTTAAACAAATAGTTACGAATCATTTCGTTGATAAACAGATTACTTCTACACAGTTGGTCATTGGCGCTACTTTATATTTAGACTATCCTGCGTTCTTCAACATTAGTACTGATACAATGTGCGAGTAATTTTATGTCCAGGTGCTAGACAATGATTATGGCATACTTATGAGACCTTTTTTCTGTGTATTTCTCTTAGCAACTTAGACATAATTTAGCATCATTGTCTCAATACAATTAGTGTGATCTGTGACATGACCTATCTAACTACGTTATGTTTTGTATCCCATTTTAGATGCAGATGCAAAATACCATACCTGAAGCTCAGCTTCAGTTGGATTCTGTCCCAGCGATCTCATGACAGTTCCCAGCTCCTTTGTAGTGATGACGCCGTCCCCATCTTTGTCGAACAAAGAGAAGGCCTCCTTGAACTCAGCGATCTGCTCCTCTGTCAGTTGGTCAGCCATGGTTGTCTATCCCTGTCAGGACAGTAAAAAAAGCTTTGGTAAGAAATCCTACTGATTAAATGTGAATAAAATTTCGTTACTTCAGGGGGTGAATGTTTGAACCCCGCTTGAGCACGGGGTGATGAGCTGCACTTGTCATTTCGGATGGGGACGTAAAGCCAGTGACCCCGGTTCAAGCGTTGACCTCAGCTCAGGCTAGCTAGTGGAGAAACCTCTGCACTGAAAAGAAGCTAACACAGAGATCGAGAAGAGAAGGGTGACCCAGTGTGATTGGCTGATTTGTGTTGCATTGCATTATACTTATAGCTAGAGCAAAATGAAATGATTTCCCAGTGCTGAGGATAACTGCTTTGCCCTTTCAGCACGGAAATTGATTTTTTACCATTTATTTTATTAATCTTTTTTGTACAATCTCAGTGACATTTCTGTACCCATACATTTAGCATGCGCACTTACATGCTGTACGATGCACGTTTTCAGCACAAACTTGCACATAACAAAAAAGCAAAACAACTTAATCTAATTACATCATATTTTCCAGCCTTTGCAATCTTGTAAAAAAATCTGCCTGTGACAATTCTATGACCATGTCCTTACATTTAAGACTTCAAGAATTTTGTTTATCGTATCCTAAACACACAGACGGTATCCTGAACGTTAATATCTCATACGTAGATTTTCTGCATTTCCCCCCGCCAGTATTTCACCCTGCCATATAATCAAATTTGAACATGTTAACGGAACGATAAACTTAGTTAACTTCGTTAGGGAGCTCATGAATGTAGATGCCGATTGATATATGTGCAAAGGTGCTGGAGATGCGTTAGCTACAAAATTATGCTGTATAACTCAATTCCACTTTCTCTGAATTCTATCTGTTTTGTCTCTGAGATTGTATTTTTGTGTGTAAACTAAAGTGCATGGCGCACACACGTATGTGAATTGAGATACTAGTAAATGAGTGATAGAAACAAAATAATATAGACTACAACAACCTTTATAAGCTATCATTTATGCTTAAACGTGTGATGGTGGAATATCAGTTCACAGTTAAACAAGATTGTGGTTTTTAAAGGCATCCAATGCAGTTTTAGGTTTTGGAAACCCGATTTTTCAAAGTCAATATTCCAGTCATTCATCTACATACTGAGTTGAAACCACACTGTCTCAATGTATATTGACCCTCATGGAGCAAAAAACCTTCTGACGGAAAATGGTTACTGGAAGGGCCCTGGGCTGATTTTTAGGGTACCACCCATAAAATGAAGGACACATCTTCGGGCTTGCTTCTGCAGTTTAAATACCTAAAGTATGAAATCCTGATTAAAATGTGCTAATGTGAAGCAGTATGTGTCAATACCACAAAGACTGCTTTATTCAGAAATTTCCAGTTTTGCTGCTCTGAAATCGCATTGGATGCTTGTATAACCAAATTACGAAGTAAGGGTCGAACGTGATAAAACTATGTATTGCTCCAGTCTGTATTCCCGAATTATACCGTTTAGTCACGAGGAAAACTCCCCGATGAAGTTGGAGCCACACGTCGTAAAGTTCAACCGCTCTCCTCTGATTCTATCACGGTAGAGTCTTATTTGCCAAACTGTACGCATCGGAGCAGCGATAATGTGAGGCAAGATTGGCGCTGATTAGAGCAGACTGGCCTGACTTCGGTCTAACGAGCATATTCATCATTATATCAACGCTGCGAAAAAGTCACTGCAGTGATAATAATGCTGTCAAAACCGTTACCACTCTAGCTTTGACAGAGATATAGCGGCAGAAACTTACAACTAACTCATTTAAACTCATATAGCGTCAGAAAAACTCAAATAACTCGTTTAAGCTGGGGAAAATATATTTAAATCTGTTAGTGAAGACATTTCAAATGTTTTATTTCATTTCTCGAAAAGGCTTACTTACTAATTGTACAAAAAGTCACTGCAGTAATAATAATATTGTCAAAACCGTTACCACTCCAGCTTTGACAGAGATATAGCTATATAGCGGCAGAAACTTGTAAATAACTCATTTAAGCTGGTGAAGATATAGTAAAAACTTTAACTTTGTTGGCTAATATGATACATTTCAAATGTTTTATTTCATTTGGCGAAAAAGTCACTGCAGTGATAATAATGTTGTCAAAACCGTTCCCACTCTAGTTCTGACAGAGATACATTTACAAATAACTCGTTTAAGCTGGTGAAGATTAGTGAACTTTGATGGTTAATACATTTCAAATGTTTTACAGTATTTCATTTCTCGAAAAGGCTTACTAATTGTGAAAAAGTCACTGCAGTGATAATAATGTTGTCAAAACCGTTATCACTCTGACAGAGATATAGTGGCCGAAACTTACAAATAACTCATTTAAGCTGGTGAAAATGTAGTAAAAACTTTGTGGTTAATACATTTCAAATGTTTAATGTCATTTCTCGAAAAGACTTACTAATTGTGAGAAAGTCACTGCAGTGATAATAATGTTGTCAAAACCGTTCCCACTCTAGCTTTGACAGAAACATAGCGGCATTTACAAATAACTCGTTTAAGCTGGTGAAGATATAGTAAACTTTGTGTTTAATACATTTCAAATGTTTAATTTTATTTCTCGAAAAGACTTACTAATTGTTATCACTCCAGCTTTGACAGAGATATAGCGGCAGAAACTTACAAATAACTCGTTTAAGCTGGTGAAAATATAGTAAACTTTGTGTTTAATACATTTTAAATGTTTAATTTTATTTCTCGAAAAGACTTACTAATTGTGAAAAAAGATCCCGCAGTAATAATAATGTTGTCAAAACCGTTTCCATTCTAGCTTTGACAGAGATATAGTTGCAAATAACTTATTTAAGCTGGTGAAAATATGGTTATCTCTGTTGGTTAATGCATTTCGAAATTTTTATTTCATTTCTGGAAAGGATTTACTAACTCACAGACTAATGCCGTGGCCTTATGATTCCTCTTACGGTTAAATGAGCACTTTGAAGCCAACAATTTCTGGGTAATTTCAGCAACGTCCGTTCTCTGAGGGGATTACCATAAAAGGCAATAAAATCTGCTGAGGCCGATTATCCCAGGAGACCAGTGACGGCTGGATTAAGAGAGATTACAGGAAACAGAATCGATGTTACAGATTTTTTTCAGGATCTTTTTTTATACCAAAAACAGTTACTCATTCAAGCAACTGGATATGATTTTGGAAACGGTCAGACGTTTCAGGTAGCATCCACTAACCTTTCGTCAGTGACACTGCAGAAGAAATGCAGGTTTATAAGCACAAACTATTGATTGATATGCAAATAAGTGAAGACAAAATTTGGCGTATCTAATTACCTAGATGTCGAACCTTCACAAACGTACTTTTTACAGTTTTCTTTTTCTCTGTTTTCGGTAATCGAATCTGAGGTAAATTTGAGTCAAATTTGACTGCCAACCATACTCCGACCTACTCCCGAACACCAGCCAACCACCAGCCAACCACCAGCCAACCATGGTTGGGGGAGTTTGGAATTCGGGTATGTTCGGCTATGTACGTGTGTGACAAGGACTTTAGATCTCACAAAGTACCACCAAACTAGATATTTTGAGTAAAAACTGATCAACGTATTTCTGTCCATCTCAATAGCTTAAGATTAATTTTGTATGCAAGTACTAGAAAGTGGCATTTTCAAGTAGTACATTTAGTTTTGTCTCAGTTTCAGTCTTATCTAAAATCTAAAGACCGAATCTTGAAAAGATTTCGGAATTCTACAACAAACCGTTGTTCTGTAATGGGCACCTCTCTTCCTTACTAATAGTCCCTTGGGTGCGTTTGCATACTTGGTACGCACAGTCACCCGTAATTTGGGGTTCATGGGGTGTTCCAAGATATCACATGTGTTCTAAAATCTCGTTAAGGCCACACCGGCTTAATTTTATGGATGACATCCTCTGAAGACCCCCAAACTAGTGCGAGCGGGCGAATAAAATAAAAATCGGCCAAAAATAAAAATGCTACTTAACCACAGGCATAGCTGGTATTGTGAATTTGCGGTAGAACTGCGGTAGAACATAGCAAAATATTCGACAAGCAGGCACATTCTGGCTCAGTTTTGCGGATTTATGAATCGACACTGTACGTATGTACTGAGGTCTTGAGTCGTGGAGCTCTGGTAGCCTGGGTGCCATCCTCCAGAGTTACCACCGGCTCCGTACTGTCGCTATATGGCAAGCTACCATTGACTATCCAGGCCAGAGCTTCGGATGACGTGATCTTTTTTTTTTTTGACAGACGAAAATCAATGCGCGCGAGGATGTCATCCATAAAATTAAATCGGTGTGGCCTAACTTGCGACAATGTGTCATCACGGATGCAGTGATTGCTAAAAGCCTACTATAAAAAATGAGTTATCATATTTAGGAATTTGAAGCGTGAACACTTGTCACAATTTATCGTAAACCCGTCTGACAATTGTTTTAATTCTTTCCCCCCGAAGCAGTGTGGCAATTAAGGACAGGGCTGGTGATTTGAAAGCCTATGATTATGACATCGTCACAGTGACAATGATAGCTTCTGTATTGCGAATTGAAGCAGGAAGATATAACCGCACTCCCCTAGAGCAAAGAATCTGCCAATTTTGTAGTCTAGATAGAGTAGAGGACGAAGTACATTTTACCATAGATTGTCCTTTATATGACAGTGATAGACACATACTCTTCGGACATGTTTTAAGTAAATTTCCCCACTTCGGATTCTTAACAAGTAGAGAAAAATTTATATTCCTGTTAACTCTTGACAAACCAAATCTAACTACACATACAGCATCTTACATTTATACAATTACTAAGAAGCGAGAAGAAGCTGAAAAGACTACAATACATTAGACATTTATATATGAATGTACATGTCATAGTTATATGTATATTTATATGAATATTTATTCGAATTATTATGTATAATGTGACCTGTGCTTAGCCCAGTGGGGCAAAAATGTACAATAAAGGTCTTCATTCTGTTCTTAGACTATGGCCAC